AGGAAGCTGAGGCCGGGGGTGCACAGGAGCTCAAGGCCATAGTGTAGTGCTGCTCCCCCCCCTCCCCCCATGCCACCCCGTGCCAGAGAGGCCAGGCCTCAGCAACCCCCACCAGCCCTCCCTGACCCTGCCCAGGTATCTGAGGGTGGCCAGGGCAGCTGCTGCCCCCACCCCCCAGTGTTCACTGTTCTGTTCTGGGGCCAGTTTCGCAGGTTCCCATCATAAAGATTTGCCCCGCTGTGCATGTGTGGATGATGCTTGTCTCCCTTTTCCCTGGCTCATTTGCCAAATGTTAGATTTCTGTTGTAGAACAAACTGGTGTTTGGGGGTGGCCTGTGTGGTGGGTGGGGCCCCTGGGGACACCCCACGAGGCAGTAGCACTATGGGCCCAGCACTGTTTTCCTGGCAGAGCTGGGGCAGGGTTCATGCATCCCATTCACGCAGGGGGCATGCTTGGGGGTCAGTGATGCCCATTTTGGAGGTGCCACCTGCTGGACCCCAAGCAGCTGTGGCTTTGGCTCAGCTGTTTCCCTGTAGAGTCCCGGGAGGTCATGTGGCCTTGCAGAGGCCTGTCCCCTATGTAGAACAGGAAAGAGGTGTCTTGCCTCTCAGAGGTACTGGGCTGTTGTGTCGGGTCCTTGGGAGTGACCCTCGCTGGCAGGCCGTCTGCTATCCCAGCAAGGTGGAATGAGGACTCTGCCAGATCCCCAGAACCTTGCCAGACCACTGAATACGTGTGTGAGAGGCCAGGAGCTGCCTTTCATGGTTGGGGAGGGCTCATGCAGATGCCTGGCCTGAGAGGGTCCGTCCACAGTGGAAGTAGCAGAACTCTGCTCCATCCGGTCAGCAGGGAGGTGTGCTGCAGCCAAGTCCCTCTTCACTGCAGTCCAGTGCTGGGGTCGCCCTCAGAGGCTCTCAGCTGCTTGGCCTTGGTCTCCTGGGACTGTCCCCGCTGTGGGGGTCTGCCTCCCACCGAGAGCTGGGTGCTGGGCCTTGGGCCGGAGGTGGGTGGTTGTGGATGATGCTCCAGTCCTTTGAGGATAAGGAGGCCAGACCCTGTACCCTGCCCCCTGTCCCCAGCCACAGTCGCTGTTGCAGTAGCTGGGCTCCAGGTGGTCTGTGCAGAGCTGTAGTACTTGGTGCCCGCGAGGCCCCTTTTCCATCAGGGCAGGGCACCTGACCCCTCTCAAGACCTCTACCCCGCAGGAACCGGTCAGCAGTGAGGAGCTCTGACCTAGGATGCTTCCTGTGTGCATAGGGGTGGCTCATGGCAAGTTCTAGAAGCTGCTGAGTCAGATACTGGGGACCGTTGGGCTAGAGGGGGCTCTGTGCTGGTGAAGAGGTGGACTAGAGGCGGCTGAGGGCAGCTTCCCACCAGTGTCCCAGAAGGGTGGGCCATGGGCAGGAGGCCGATTTTCCATGTGCACTGAATGAGCTACATGGGCCCTAGCAGATTGGCCGACCCCTGCATGCCCTCCTCCTCCCCACTGCACCTCAGAGCACAGGAGTGCAGGCAGCCGTGCCGCCCCAGGCCTGTGGCCCCCGATGCCAGCAAGGGCTGGTGCTGCCTGGTAGTGAGTAGGGGTATGGCAGGCCCCTGGCTCTGATCTCTTCATCCAGTGCCCAGTATGGGGAGCTGAGGCTGGCCTCAAGGGGAAAGATGAGTGTTGCACACCTGGCCTGAGCCCAGCCCATCCCAAGCCCCACAGGGCCCAGTGAGGTCTGGCCTCCACACAGGTGAGCGGGCCCAGGATCGGGCCCTGTGCCCCAGGCCCCTGGTCCTTCACCGTGTGTTGGGGTGGAGGGTGAGCAGGGCAGCCCAACCACCTGCGTGAGAAACCAGGCTCACACATGAGCAGGCAGGTGAGCGTGGGTTGGGCCCCCACCTTGGCTGGCTGACTCTGAGGCCCTTGCCCCTTCTAGCTGGATGAAGGGCCCCGCAGGCAGGACCTAGACGGGACAGGTGGGGCAGGTGGTGGAGGACCCTGTGCCTGGGTGGAGAGGACCTAGGCCTGGGGAGTGGGGGGGGGGGGGCAGGGGTGTTGGTCTTGGGCCCCCATCAGCCCACACTCGCCCTCTCCCTCCTAGGACAGGTCCCAGAGGAGGAGGCTGGTCAGAACGGGCAGAGCCGGGGCCCACCCAAAGTGGTGTGCATGAATGGCACAGAGTCAGCCCAGCTGAGCACCAAATCAAAGGTGGAGCGCCGGGCCAGCGCTGCCTCCAACCCCACTCGCAAGGCCTGCTCGGCCAGCAGCAAGATCCGCCGGCTGTCAGCCTGCAAGCAGCAGTGAGAGCGGCCACCCACAGGTAGGCTGCTGTGGGGACCTGTGGGAGTGGGTGGGGGCCATACCGTGGGCCCTGGCAGCACCCAGCCCAACTCACAGCTGCAGCCACTGCTGACCAGGGCCAGTTCTGTCTTCCCTGTTCTGTCAGTCTGTGCCCACTGCCCCCAGGACACTGGCCAGTCGGGTGGGGGTTGGGCAGCAGTTCCCATGTGCAGGAGGGGGGCCCCTCACACTGGCGGCCTGTCCTGCCAGCCCCGGGTGATGCTGGACTCAGCCCATGAGACGTGTGTGGGTGGGTGGAAGGTTGGGATGTCTTCAGCTTGGCCCACCCAGGCTGTCATCCTGGTGGCTGCTCGGCCCCCCTCTGCTTCCTCTTCCCGCCCCTGCCTGCCACAGTCCGAGGTGTGTGTGGTGGGAAATCAGGCCCCAGGGGTGCTGAAGATCCCATCATCTGCTCAGGATGCAGGCGGGGTGCCCTCTTCTGGGGTGCTGCCCCCTGCCCCAATGGCCCTGTGGTGCTTACCTGCCAGCATCAGAACCAGCCAGGAGGGCTGGGAGCCCGGCTTCTTCCGTGGAGGCTGGTGCTTAACTCCACTGGGCAGAGTGAACTACAGGGTAACCCTGGGAATCAGCGCAACCTTCCCTGGCCTCTCCGGACATCTCACAGCTCCATATGAGTAGGCCTCAGTTTTCCCCACCCTGTCAGCCGACCAGAGGGTGGGTGGGGCCTACCTCCTGGGATGCAGAGCCTGTTTGCTGGCTGAGGAGTGACCTTTCTGTTCCTGTCTACAGCCCGTCTCATGGAGCCCCAGCCAGGTGCCACGGCCCAGGTCCTGAGTCTTCCCGCCGACTGCTGGCCCATGGCTGCTGCCCAGGAAGGCCACCACCACACCCTCCTTGCCGACTGCCCCTCGGGAAGCCAGGGGTCTGGGAGGGCCGTGGCTGGGGGACAGCAGGGACTGGGGCCTGGCCTGCCCCTCGTGGCCAGTGGACACGACCTCTTGTTGACTTTGCAGCCCTGTGCCAAGCCCCTTCCCCTGGCCAGGGGAGGAGGGAGCACAGCGGCTCACGGGCCCTGTGGGAAGCCCTTGCCACGCACTTTATGTTCAGACTACTGGTTCTCTCCCCAGCCCTGACTTCTTTTTACTCTGCTCCACGTTAGCGCCTCCCACACCTAGTGATGTGTTCAGACAAACCACAGCCACAGCAGGAGCCGGGATGAAGAACAGGCCTGTCAACCAAGATGCATGCCCAGAGCCCAAGGGAGCCAGGCGGCTGCCTTGTTTTTGTTTGGTTGGTTCCTTTTTCTTTTTTTTTTTTTTTAAAGAAAAAATAAAGCAGGTGGATTTGAGCTGTGGTTGTGAAGGGTGTTTGGGAATTGTTGGGTGGCACCGTGTCCTGCAGGTAGGGGATCTGAGTCCAAGCCCCCTTTGTGGACCTACAGCCCAGGGGGCAGGCTGGGGTCTGCAGGTCTGGCAGGTGGGTGGTGGGACCTGGGGCTTCCGTGGGGGTCAGCCTTTGGCCATGCTGGACAGCAGTCCTCTCGGTGGTGACCGGTCTCCCCAAAAGTCAGCAGGGCCCTCTGCGCAGCCCCAGGGCCCACCAGTCCACAGTGCAGCAGCCGGGGAGCTACCTGATCACAGGACCCTGACCCTCTTTCCAAGGTCTCTGTGCTCCTGGGTCCCCAGAGAAAACCTGGACTAAGCAAGAGTATGCCGTAAATGTTTATAATCAACCAGAAAACAAACACAAGAAACTCCATCACTGGATGGTACACAGACGGCACGAAGCTCCGAGGGGCGGGGCGGGGTGGGGCGACTCGGCCGCAGGCGAGGGCTGCCCCATCTTTTGGCAATAAATAAAGCTTGGGAAACTTGAAACCTTGGCCGTTTGGGTTTTGTGTGTCTCCAAACATTAATGAGTTCTGGCAGCTCTTTGGACGGTGCAACTGCGGGGCGGGCAGGTGGCCCACTCACATGCTTGGGGCGGGCGCGGGGACTTGGACACGGTGGGCGGGAGGGGGCGGGAGGGGGCGGGCTGCGGGCTGCGGTTTATTGCTCGGAGGGGGCGCAGGGCGGGGGGTAGACTGCCGCGAGCACATGCCGCGGTGAGGTAAATAGCTTCAGGGGTTTGGCGGCTGCGGCCTCCACCCAACCTGCCAGCCCAGAGCGAGCACGCCCGTCGCCCGTCTCCCATGCCCCCGCAGTCCGGGTCCCCGCGGGCGCGGCGCACGCAGCCCGGGCCCCTTCGAGGCTCCACTGGCCCCGGTAGGGGCGCCCTGCGCATGCGCCTCACTCTGCTCCTCCACGCGGACCCAAGGTGCGGGTCCTGGGCGTGCGCCTCCTGGTGCTCTGTGCCCAAGACGCCCCCACCCAGAGGCTGCTGTCTGGGGCCAAAGGCAGATGAACGTAGTCCTCAGGGGCTCGAAGATGAGAACCTGCCCCGCTCCCTCCAGTCCAGCCCCGCACTTTGAGGAGCCACAGAGGGACGCGGCTCGGTGACCAGTGGGGACTGTGCGCGTGCGCACCGGAGGCGGCCTGAGGGTGTCCCGAGGACATGAGCATGCGCACCTGGGGGGCGGCTAGAGGACGAGCGCGAGCGCGGCCCCACGGTCCCGGCGTTTGCCCGCCGGAGCGTCGCGCCCCAGGCGTGTCCGGCGGCGGAGGTCCCGAGCGGCACCAGAGAAGCTGACGAGGTGGGTGCGGGACGCAGGGCTTAGGCCGGGCTATGGTCGGGAGACGTCGGCGCGGCGGCGGCGGCGGCGGCCAGCGCAGGAACCGCAGCGATGGGCTGGGCGAGGCGCGGCGGGAAGAGTCTGTCGTCGATGCCAGCCGCCAGCTTGTCCAGCAGTGTCCCCGGGGACCCGACGCACAGGCCTGAGCCGGGGCAGCTGCCGCTGCCGCCGCCGGGCTCCTCCTCAATGACAGGGATAGCGGGCGCAGCCGGGTCATCGCCCGCGCGGCCCTCGGGCGGGCAGTCGACACTGTCGCCTCGGCGCAGAGGCGCGCGTGTGGGGCGGGAGTCGGGGCCGAATGTGGGCGCAGGCGGGGCGGGGGTGGCGGCGCGCGCGCCGGGGTCGCTGTGCTGCCGGCCGCGCTGCTGCCACTGCTTGCGCGTGTGGGGGTGCGGATGCGCGCGCGCGCGGTGGCGGGTGGCGCAGGGCAGCGCATCGTCGAAGTGCGGGTCATGGCGCAGGAACTCGTGGAAGAGCGCGTCTGTCTTCTCGTCAATGCTGTAGTCGCGGCGCGGGGCACGGCGGGGCCAGGCGCGGGGGCTGCGGGGCCGGGCGGGCGCCTCGGTGGGCGCCAGCGCCCCCTCGAAGCTGCTGCCCACAGTGGCCGTGCGGCCGGCGCTGGTGAAGGAAGAGCGCTTCTCGGACGCGCTGGGGAGCCCGTCCTCGCCCGCGCCGCGGCCCTCGATGCTGGCGTAGCCGCTGTCCATCTGAAGCAGCTTTCGCGGACCTCCCGCCTCACTATCCGCGGAGCGAGGTGTGGGCGGCGGCGAGGGCGGTGGGAAGGTGGGCACGGTGGTCCCGGAGCCTGAGCCCGAGCTGTCTCCGCTGCGCACCGAGTCGCGGTCGTTGCCACTGCTGCTGTGGTCCGAGGCGGCCGCGGCATGCAGCTCTAGAGAGGCACGCAGGCTCCAGATATCCCGGTAGATGGTCTGGGCCTGCTCTGGCCCCGAGTCCCGCTCACCATCAGATTCCTGCTGCCGCTGCTCAGGCCCCACACCGCCGCTGCGCTCTGGGGGAGACTCGGGGCTCGCTCCTCCCGTGGCGCCCACCTCCTCGGCTGCCTCTAGCCTGCAAGCCAGGCCGCAGCAGTCAAAAAGGCTGTGCGCGCCCCTGCATTTGCTCCCCAGCCCCCCGACTCTGGGTCCGGAAGGGTGCGCATGGGCGGGGACCCCCTAGGTTTGGCCAGACTGCGGAAAAGGAATTTAAAAAAAAAATGCTGCCAGTCCCTGTTGCAGGGTATGTTTTCTGGGTAAATCTGAGCCTTCCTAGCACCTGCTTTTCAACCAGGTCACTTTTCACAGTGTCTGTGGCTGGCTCTTCACCTAGAGAGAGTGAACATTCTGCTGCGAAGCTACTTTCTTCCTAATGTCTTAGTGTAGAAGGGATTGGCATGGGAGGAACTGGACCTGGTGCAGTCCCACTCAGCCTCTACGCCTGGACTTCACCGCCCCACCACCCCCATCCACTGGGGGGGTAGTGGGGTGCTGCGGGCAGAAGGGGTCAGTTTCTGAGAAGGGGCCATGCAGCCCTCAGGAATATGAGCAGGTGGAAAGGAGCACCAGGCCCCAGCAGAGCCCATCAGGCCGTGGTCTCCACCAGGAAGCGATAACATCCAAGCAGGCACATACCCCTGGCAGCCCTAACTGGGCAGACATCCCATCTTGGGGACCCTGGGGCCATCGTCCAGGGCCCCACCTGCCCTTCTGCCCTTACCCTGTCTCCCCCTGTTTCCCTCTTGCAATGCATGCTGGAGAGGTGGCCCCAGTGAGGCAGCCTCTGGGAGGGGTGGTGGGACTGGAAGACTGTAACCACATGTCTGCAGGGTGGGGAGAGCCCTCCCCAGGACAATGGGGCGGGGACTGGGCAGGGCTGGGGCCCACAGGTCCACCCCTGGCACTTCTATCTACTGAAAAATACCTGCCGAGAGTGGGGGATGGGCTGGTGGGGCTGGCCAGAAAGGGGTGGGGGGGCGGGAAGGCCACAGCGTCGCCTGCGCTGGCGATGTATTGGATGAAGTCCATGTGGGGGGCGTCCCCCTCCTCCTGCTCTGTGCTCTCGCTGGCGGCTCGCTGCCGCTGGAAGTGGTGCCGCTTGGGGGAGCCTGTACAGAGGAAGGCGCGTCAGCCTGCCGGAGTTCCACTCAGCCTGGGGCCCCACTCCCACCCCAGAGGCCAGCAAGGACCAGCCTGGTCCAGGTGAGTGTGCACCCCGCTCTGCAAGGGGGAAACCGAGGCCCCGAGAACAGAAGGGCTAGGGCAGGTGTGAGTGCAGTGTGGAGGTGGTGCCAGTACCCAGAGCGGCTCTGGCCAGAAAGGTGTGGCCGGGGCCAAGATGTGCCCGAACACCTGGCAGCAGGCACAGCTGGGCTAAAGTGTGGAAGCTGGAACAGGCTGGTGAGGGCCAGGGAGAAGCTTGGGTGGAAGAGCCCCAGGAGTGGGGAGGCTAGTCAGCCAGCAAACAGGTTCTGGGCACTTTTGCACCTCCGTTCAGCTCTAACCACCCTCAGGAATCATGGGCTCCATCTCTGCTCCTGAAGGCAGTGGAGTGGGCCCTCCCCTCCCTGCACGAGCTGGAGTCAGGCCCCAACAAGGGGGTTTGTGCCGTCAAGGCCATGCACCTGCTTAAGCTCTCTCTCCTTACCTGTCCCGGCACTGGACCCACCACCTCCACAGGGCAGCAGGCACCCCCTCAGCCTGTCCCGTCCTGGCTGACTTCCCCCAGTATACCTGGGGTATACTGAGGATACCCTGAGTACCCCTGTTTTGGGCTGAGGATAAGGAAGCCCTATATCCAGGGCTCTCCATGACGGGCGGTCTGCAGGATTGAAGGGCTGCTGTCGTTAGCTCGGGGGTGGGGATGCTCTGGCCCAGAGGCCAAATGGGCCTGCAACCTACTGTTTGTAAATAAACTTTTATTGGCCCAACACTCATTTATACCCAGTCTACAGCTGTTTCCACGCTGCCAAACCAGACTGACCACAGATCCAAAAGCATTACTGTCTAGTGCCTTACCGAAGAAGTTCACCAATCGTGGCTATGGTCTGCCCACCCCCCTGCTTTACTGGGGCACAGTAAGTGACCCAACCAGCTCTGAGCCCTTGGGCAAGATGCCCACTGGCAAATGGGTGCTGCTGGCCAGCAGGGGGCAGGAGCCTGGGGGCCCCTCAAGAGCACGGACTCCTTCCTGGTGTGGAACCTCCTTCTCTAAGGCTGCCTGGGGCAGCAGCTGGAGCTCTATCCCCTGGGCTCCGGTTTCTACCAAGGCCACAGCTCACCTCTAGTGTCCAGACTGGATGCCCGTTGGCTGGGGTCCAGCTTCCATTTCTTGACCTTAAAGTAGGGGCTGGCCCCATCCAGGCTGGCATGTCGCCGCAGGCGGGTAAAGAACTGCAGGACAGGCCCGGCCCCGGAGCCTGGGCCTGCCTCTCCGGGCCCTGTCGTGGCCCCTGGCCCGACAGGCTTAGTGCTCCTGGTACCTGCCTCCAACTGGAAGGAAAGAGAAATGCTCTCAGGCACGAGGACCCTCTCCTTGCTGCCCCACATGCTGGCTCCAGCTTGGGCCCCAGCTCTGCACTCTAGGGGGCGGCCTCCATCCTGGCAGACGGTGCCGACACGCCCCACCCAGAACGCAGAGGAGCAGTGAACAGCGCTCGGTGGCTGGGTGGAAGCTATGCTAAGCTCTGGGGTTCAGCCTGGCTCTGCCCAGCTCTGTTCTCCCAGCCCTGGACAGAGGAGTTTCTGAAGGTGAGTGTCCAAGAGCACTCATGCCCTGGCTTGGGCTGTGTCCTGACCCTACCCTCTCCAGCTGTCCGAATGCTCTGTGCATGTGTGGGATGGCTGTGTACTCTATGTGCTGCCTACCCCTCTTCCTCCCATGCAGGGGGATCAGGCAGGAGCAAGGGGAGTTAGGGTCGGGGGAGGCCACAGGCTGACCTCTGTCCTGGAGTGGGGCAGGGAGGGGAGGGGCCGCTCGGGGGCCCTCACCCAGGTGCCTTCCCCGGAGTCGCTGGATGCCAAGGGGCTGATCTCGAAGTCAGCAGGGCCCACGGCTGAGTTGTAGGGGTCACCTGGCAGGGTGGAGCTGGGGCCCACGGAGCGGCCGGTGAGGGCCTTCCCCGGGGGCTAGGGGAGGAAGCAGTAACAGGTCAAAGAGCACGGGTGGGTGAGGGGGACTACTGGACCCACAGCCCACTGTGCACCCCAGCCAGTCCCCCCTCCCTGTCCTAAGATGAGGGGCCCAGCCCAGAGCGTGGGAAAGGGGCCACCTACAGGGTGGGTGTCTTGTCCACCGAGCCCCAGGCTGGCTGCCACCCATATACTCACCTGGAATATGGCGAGGTTGGCCTTGGGGGGGGTGGTGGTGCTGGCTTCACCCAGATCGCACTCATGGATTGTGATGATCTTGAGAGGTGGTAGGTGCAGGTGAGTGAGGCGGGCATTCTTCAGGTGGTGGAAATCCCCCTCCGTCAGGGTGTACCTGTGCCCGGCATGGCTGCCCGTCACCATGCCAGCCAGCCTCCATGCTCAGCCCGACCCCCCAAGCCCACACCTGCTGCTGTCCCTGGCTCCACCATGGGGGAGAGCAAGGCCAGCACCCGCCCCGCAGTGAGCCCAATCACAGGGCATCAGGCTCTGTGACCTCCCTTGGGGACAGGGTCCCCTCCTGCTGCACCGCCCCTTACCGGCGGCCCTTGTCCTGTGACTTGCGGCTCTGCTCAAACAGGGCTGCCTCATTGAAGGACACCCGGCGGCCGGTGTAGCTGGTGGACAGGAAGCGCTCCGTCTCTGCATCCTGGCCCTCAGGGTCCTCCCCACTGAAGTCGGGGTCTGCGAGGAGAGCGAGAGGGTGGGCCCCGGGCGCGCCGCGCCTGGCACTGGGCAGGCGCTGGGCGGGCAGCCGGCTGGGGTGGGTCGGGCAGGGGGTGAAGGGTGGGGCCCGACTGAGGGCTGGGACGGGGCAGGGGGCAGGGTGGGCACTCACACATCCGCTCACACACTCACTCGCTCAGCACGCGCCTGTGAGCACCTACGCGCGGGCTCTAAGGAAACAGAGATGAGTCGGAATCGAGCTGCGCCCAGTCTGGTGGGGGAGACAGACAGACACAGCCGGTCAGGCGGCCCGAGGGGGCGGGCGGGAGGGCGGGCAGACGGGCTGGGGGCGGGCCTGGCGGGGCGCCGCACCTTGGGCCGGGTGAGCACCATTGTCCAGGTAGGTAGTGGTGGTCTTCTCTGCTTCCTCCGTCGCTCTGGGGAGGGACCGCAGGGCAGCAAGGTGGGACGGAGGGCCCACCTGCCGGGACCCGAGCTCATCGGGCTAGGACCCAGTGGACACACCGTGCTCCCCGGGCACTTAGAAGCAGGCCCCCAACACCATACAGGCTGACATACACGCCTGCTAACAGCGCGTACGCGCGTGCACGGTCACCCGGCTCCAGGCGTGCACGGGCCCAGGGGAGGCCGCTGGGGCGGGCGGGCTGCGCACCTGTTGAAGCGCCGGTGGGCCTCCCAGCAGCGCCTGCACAGCAGCAGCACGCCAGACAGAACCACTAGCGCACCACCGATGAAGAGCGACATGACCACCACCAGCAGCGCGTAGTTGTCCAGGATGGGGTCAGGCTCCGCCTGTGGGCCAGCAGGGGTCAGGACCGCGGGGCGTGGCCTCTGGAGGCCCGCCCGGCCCAGCCACCCACTCCATCCCCCTCACTCACGGTGGGGCTGCCGGTGGCGTTGTCCCACCTCGAGGTCAGGGCAACCGTGGCCGTGGTGCTGGCGGCAGGGGCCATGGTGGGCGTGGGCTGCATTGTGAGGCTAGGAGGAGGGGCCTGGGGGGGGCAGGGCCTGCTCAGACCAGCTCCTCTGTCCCCTCCCCCTCCTAGCTCCCAGGGAGAGGGAGGAGGAGTCCAGATGGGGCAGTGACTCACGGAGAGGTGGAGGAGAGCCCCGAGGCAGCCCCCACCCCGCTTAGATCCACGCCGGGACCTCCATTTCCCCGTGTTTAAAACGGGGGAGGTGTATGCTATCCACCACCTCCCCAGCCGGTGGGGCCGGCCCAGCAAGGTCGCAACTGGCCGGGAACCCTGCCCAGAAAATGGGAAGCACTCCTAGGGGGAAGAGGGACACTGAAGATGTCAGCGCACTACCGTGAGCCCTCAGGGGCCCTGCCAGCCGCATCAGGGAACAGGAGGGGGCTGCCGCAGCCCCGGGAGACTGGTTCTACGGCGAGTGGTACCAGGATGGTGGAAGGGGGCGGAGGGACTGAGCTCAGTGACTACCAAGTCACGACTCCGGGAGGTAGCTGCCCCCCTCCACCCAGTGCTAGTGGGAGCGAAAAGGCCAAAGAAGGCGCATCTGTTCCCAGCCCTGAAGAATCTGGTTCCCATGGCGACTGTGCGAGCAGGCCAAGCGGGGGGGGGGGGGGTGTTGCCAGGGCGCACTGGGGAGAGGAGGGGGCGCGGGGGAGGGAGGCCTCCTGCAGGGCGGCTTGAGCCGGTCCTGGGCGGCAAGATGGCTGCTGCAGCCGCCTCCCCGCCAGTGCCCAGCGCGGGGCCCTGCGCCTCCGCGAGCAGCTTCTCTGGCTGAGCAGGCCAACCTCCACGTTTGCTTCACGCTAGGGGTAAACTGAGGCCGGGGGAGGGGAGCTCAGCCCTCGGGAAAAGGACTGCCTGGACATTGCACCTGACTGTCCCCCCAACGCCCCCTCCTCCCGGTGGGAAGGACCGGGGACTGCACGCTGGAATCTCAGGGAGCAGAGTCTGGGCCGGGATGACCCGCAGCCCTGAGTAGGCAGGGCGCGCGTTCGGTCCTTCCCCAGAGGAAAGGGTGAGCCAGTGCACAGGCCCCAGCGTCCCCAACCCTTTCGGGTTTTAACCCCACTCGACAGCAGGGGAGACAGGCCTAGAGGATGGGGGTGGGGGAGACCTGGCGAAAACCAGGTGTTCTCAGAGTTCCGGTCCGAGAATGACCGTGGCTGCCCGGGATCCTCAAGGGGGATGGGGCGCGCATATGTAGGTCGGGAAATGAGTTCCGGCTGGAGGGGGAGGAGGCAGAAGCGCAGGGACCGCGACAGGAGATCAGAAAAGATGGCAGGCAGCCGAGGGGGAAGAGAGGTGGACTCCTAGGGGTAGGCGGGGACCAGACCCGAGGGCGGACGTTCCCCACGGGCCCGCCCCTGAGGTCCAGCCCGTCCTCCCCGAGCTCGCTCGCCACCGCGCCCATCCCCGCGCCCCCAACCGGCCCCGGGGCGGGATGGAGAGCCCTCAAGGAGAGGCAGAGAGCCGGACTGCAGGCACATCTCCGCTTCGGGCTAACCCAGGAGACGGAGACGCCATCGCCCTCGTTGCATCTCACAGGGGAAACTGAGGCCGGGGAAGGGCGTGGGGGGGGTCCTTCACCAGGCCACTAACGGGGGATGCAGAGCCCCGCAGAGTGGCCCCCTCGCCCGCCCCGGTTCCTCCCATTCCCTCCCTCCGGCCTCGCCGCCTCGCGGAAAGGGCCGGTGGTCCGGAGCCGGCGGCGATCCCATGGGCCGCGCGGCCCCGGCCTGCCCCCGCCCGCCTTGGCGTATCCCCAGGCCCGCCGCGCCTACCTCAGCGCCGGGGCGCGCGGCCCATGGGGGGCGGGCGGGCGGCTGCGCGGCGTTCCCGGCGGGCTCCGGTGCCCGGTGGCCGCGGAGCAGGCGGAGAATTTATGAATGGAGAGCAAGGCGCGCGGGGGAGGCAGGCGCAAGAGGAGGGACCGCGCACGTGACCGCGTTGGCGGCGAGCCCGCTCCGACCCGCCGGGTGCCACCCGGTCCCGGGCCGACCGCCCCCGCCGCGCTCGCCGCCGCGTCTGGCTCGCTGCGCGCCGGCCACCGCCTCCCCTTCCCTTCCGGCGGGAGTGGGGGGCGGAGCCTGGCTCCGGACGCCCCCTCCTCACGCGGAGCGGCTGTCTCCCGCGGCGGCTGAGTCTCCACCCCCTCCCCTGCGACACAGCTCCTGACCCTTCCGAGGGTCCGGAGGGACGGGGAACGAAGGGAAGGAGTCGGGTCCATCGGTTTTCCCTCCTTCGCGTCCCCCAACCTGGGGGACACCAGGATGCACAGTTTGGGGGGGTTGGACACATGCCCCCCCCCTTTCTTCCTTAATATGTGGCATTGTCAGGTTCACCAGGCGCGCTGCCTTGCTGGGACAAACAATGAGTGAAGATTATAGAATATTATCTGTGTTGAATGCCACCATGGCCTGCCCAGCCCGGGTGACATCAGGACTACTCTGGCAGAAACTCCATGACTGGTGAACCCCAAAGCTGCTCCCCATTCTCCATCTCAGAAAATCGTGCCTTGTGCTTCTAGATGTTTATTAACCTGCACCAGCGTGGTCTGGGTTCTTGCCCAGCTCACCTGGCCCTATGCTCACCGCAATGTCATGCCTTTCCGCTCCAGTGAAAATTGACACTACCACTTCAACCTCAGGGCCTTTGCACTTGTAGGTGCTGAGCCTCGCAGACTCTTTCCCCGCTCGGCTTCAAGATCCACTCCCTGGGGCGCCTGGGTGGCTCAGTTGTTAGGCGTCTGCCTTCAGCTCAGGTCATGATCGTGGAGTCCCCGGATCGAGTCCCACATCGGGCTCCCTGCTCATTAGGGAGTCTGCTTCTCCCTTTGACCCTCGTCCCTCTCGTGCTCTCTATCTCTCATTCTCTCTCTCTCTCAAATAAATAAATAAAATCTTTCAAAAAAAAAAAAAAAGATTCACTCCCTGGCCTCCTTCAACTCTTTCCTAAATGGTCAAGTGTCAGTGCATCTCCTCTTGGCTACTTTTGGTAACAGCAATTCCCACCCCACACTTCAGTCCCCTGCCCCTTTCCGTGGACTTCATGTCGCCTGTTCTTTACTCCGATGTGTTGTGTCCCTCTTCACCCCTTCCCTCACTACAGGGTGAGTTCCATCCAAGGCAGGAGTTGGGTTCCCAGGCATGGCACAGGACTGGCACACTGAAGACAAGAACGTGCTTGTTAAGTGCGTAAATACCCAGGAAAGGCGGGCTCAAGCAAGCAGGAGCTGAATGTGCAAAGGACCTGAGGTACGAAAGTATGTTTGTAGTTCAATGTGTTGTGTTGGAGGGAACAAGGAAAGCCGTCTTGTGGTTCCCATCAGGAGGACATGATGCCTCTGGCTCTGTGTGAACCCAGCTGTTTGGAGGACAGGGGAGGAGGCTGGGCCGTGCAAACCGGTAATAGTGGCCATAGTGGCCCCACTGAGTGGACAAGCCATGCCGACGGGGGTCCACTGGCCATCTCCAGGGTAACTCCAGGTTTGGGGCCTTTACCCGTTGGCCACCCTGGAGTAGGAATTGGGAGAGAAATTGTCCAGTGGATGGGTTTGAGAAGCCGACTGATTCGTAGATTAGGCTTGCCTCCATGTGGGGTCCGGAGCTCTGGGAACGGTTGGGACTGCGCACAGGACGCACCCTTAGAAATTCGAATGGGGCTTCTCTCTGCACACACGCACCCCGGGCCAGGATGCCCCGACTCTGTTCCACAGCGCCGGCCCAGAGAGGGCGGGGGTCTGGGCACTAAGCCTGGGTCCTTCCTCTGTGTTGGCTGCAGGCGGCCCAGATTCTGGAAAGCAGGGAGCCAAGGCGCAGGCAGCCCCCGGGGTTGGAGAGTCACCGGGGCAACACCGCGTCGCAACGCGCCTGCCCAGACCAGGGCCCGAGTGACGCTACCTCCCCTGTGGCCTGCACCCCTCTGCCCTCAGCCAAGGCCCTACCCGGTGTGCCCCAGCCCGGCCCAACCCACACTCCGTGTTTTGCCGGAGACCAACATGTGGGCCTGGGGGTCTGGCCCGCGGCGCCACCTGCGTGAGCGCGGGGGCGGAGTGGTGACGTCAACGGCGCGAGCGAGGCTGCGCGAGCCGAGATGACGTCAGCGGAACCCCGGGCCGCCAGCGCACGCGTCCGTGCGTCAACGGCGCGCGGGGTAGGGGCTGGGCGGGGCCGCGGCGAATGCATCTCCGGTCGCGGAGTGCCCTCTGCCGGCGGTCGGGGATTGCAGCCGAGCCGCGCTCGCAGCGCCGGGCGGTTATCGGCCGCGCCGGGCGCTTATCCGCGCTGGACCCTCCGCCTAGGATGTCCTTTCCGGCACGTCTGCATCTCTGACTGTCGCAGCCTACCCCATCCGGGCCCCCAAGTCTGCTTTTCTTTTCTCTTTTAAGTACTTTTTAGCTTCTAATATGCCATATGATTTGCGTATTCGTTACATTGAATGTTTGATAAACGTCCCCACTGCCCCAAACCAGAGCCGGAATCTTGGTATTCCCCTTGATGGATCTTGTGCTTGGCATCCAATGAGCGCCTCCAAAACCTTGAATCCAAATGACCCGTGCTCCGCGGAGGCTCCTGGTCCTCCCCATTGACAAACATCCCATCTTGCCACCCGGCGGGCAGGTAGGACTGGAAAGAAACTACAGCCCCCAGCATGCCGCGCGCGGGGCGCAATGCGTCGTTGCAATGTCTTGCGCGGCTCGCTGGGAGTCGTCGTTCGCGCGTGCGCCTTTGCCTGGACTCCTCTTCCCAGAAGTCCACGGGCGTCGTCCTCCTCGTCCTCCAGGCTGCCCGCGTTCGGCCGGCGTCCGCTCGCAGTCGTCGCCATGCTACCCGCCGCAGTCTTCCGCCGCCCCGGCCTGCGTTCCCTCGTACGCCGGGCCCGCGCCTACGCCGATGCCGCCGCTGCTCCGGCCCCGGCTGCGGGCCCGGGACAGATGTCCTTCACCTTCGCCTCACCCACGCAGGTTCGGATGCCGGTCTGTCTCGGGACCCCGCCTTGGTCGACATTTCCGGCCCGGACCCGTAGTGGTCCGCAGTCGGAGACCCCAGCCTTTGGGTTGTCGATCCCCACTTGTTCCGCGCCCTGTGCCCCTCCCCGGTGTCGTCCGGAATCCGGGCTCCCCAGCCTCCGGGGCCCCGAGGCCCCCAACCCTATCTGGGACCCCTGACCCATGCCCCCTCCGTCTCGTTTGGTCCGGGTTCCGAGCCCCCCAACCCCAGAGTGGCTGCCCCGCACTCTTGATCTGCGCCCTACGCTCTTTCTTGGGGTCTGGAATCCGAGCCCTATAAAGTCTTCGAGTTCAGTAACTTTTCTCTGGAATCCCAACGCCCAAGGACTGGACCGCCCCGTCCCGCAGGTCCCATAGCCTCGGGCTCTTGTCCTGGGTCGGTGCGCCTTTTGTGCTCTTACAGCATTTCTGTGTGGACGGGCTCTGCGCTAGATGCCGGTACTGAGATGCTGCGGGGGACCGAAACTGAAGTCCCCGCCCCAGCGTGACCGCCTCTGTCTTCCGCATCGTGTTCCCTCCCGCCTTTGACCGTTGCCCTGCAGGGGAGCCAGTCCCGAGCGCTGGAAGACTGGGCTGCGGTGACGCATTCCCTGTGTGTTTTTTCCAGGTGTTTTTCAACGCTGCCAACGTCCGGCAAGTGGATGTGCCCACGCAGACAGGAGCCTTTGGCATCCTTGCGGCCCACGTGCCCACCCTGCAGGTCCTGCGGCCAGGGCTGGTTGTTGTCCATGCTGAGGATGGCACCACCTCCAAATACTTCGGTGAGTCCAGTGGGATGGAGCTGGGTAGGGGCCCCATACTTCATCAGGCCGGTCCCAGTCTCAGGTCGTAGAGTTGTTAAAAGAACAGTACATAGGGCAAACTTGGGGTTAAGGAGCTTGTAGGGAGGCAGGGTGGAGGTGGGTGACAGGTGTCTGAGAGAGAAGTCAAATGCTATGCGGGAGGAGCCGATTAAGAGGAGGTGTAGGATCCTGGATCCCAAGAAGTGCTTCCCCAGCACAACTCGGAGGGACAGCCAGGATTCAAATTCAGCTCCCCGATCATCCCTGATCCTAGTTTAGCTGATGGACTGGTGGGTGAAGAAACAAGGTTCTATTCTCTGTGTCCAGCCCCCAGTGGGTGCTCCTGGGCCCCCTGTGTGTATTCCATTCTCTGCAGTTGTCTGTTTCCCATGTTAGATTCTAGGGTCACCTGTGGAGCCACTTCTCTGGTTTGGGGGTGATCACGTCACCTATGACTGGGTGTGGAGGTCTTACGTCTTTCTCTTTCTGTAGTGAGCAGTGGTTCTGTCACCGTGAATGCTGATTCCTCAGTCCAGTTGCTGGCCGAAGAGGCTGTGACGCTGGACATGCTGGATGTGGGGGTGAGTGTCCCAGGAGAGACTGGTGTACCTAGGAGGCTGGGGTTGTCCTAGAGATCATGGGCTTTGGGGAAGGGAACTTGAGTTTGGTGGAGGGGCAGGCACCAGGCTGGGTCGCTGCTTGGCTCTCACCCACTGCCCACTTCCTGCAGGCAGCCAAGGTGAACTTGGAGAAGGCGCAGTCGGAGCTGTCAGGGGCAGCAGATGAGGCCTCCAGGGCTGAGATCCAAATCCGCATCGAGGCCAACGAGGCCCTGGTGAAAGCTCTCGAGTAGGCAGTGCGTGGTCCTTGCCAGCAGGGAAACCGAGGCCCAGAACTGGGCAGAGGATGTCCCGGGCAGGCTGAACCAGTTCGCGTGGGTCCAGTCTGACCGTGGGGGGTGGGGGGGTGGGGAGGAAGGTCAGCAAGCCGCCTAAAGGGATTCTCCTGTGAAGGGAGCGGTCTTGCCAGAGAAGGCCGCCAGGGGGCAGCACGGTTCTAGCTTTCTGCCAAGAGCACGCCCCATCAAACCCAGGGAACAGGCTTCTTGCCAGGGCTGGCAGGCTTGGTGGCTGGGGTGAGCCCAGAGACTTCCTCTGCTTTTTGAGGGGGGCTGTGTGTACCCCCCCACCATGGGCTTCTCTTCCCACCTTCCAGCCCCCTCCCTCCCAACCTGATGTGCCACCCGCCATCCCTCTGACTCTGTAGACCCTGCCGTGGAGACTTCAGCTCCCAGTTACCTCCGTGGGACAGCTTGCCCCCAGCTTGAGCCCCCCATTAAAAACCAGGGACCTGACTCGTGTATGCTGGTTTTGTGTCTTGTCTGGGACTGTGTTTTCAGGACCTTACCTGGTTTTTGTCCCAGCTCTGCATTTCCCTGCAGTGGGATGAGGCATTAAATGCCAGTCTCAGCCTACACGGTTTGGAAGCTGGGGCCCAAGGGGTCCTCAGGGGTCTAGTAAACTGGGGAGTGGGGGCGTGCAGGGGGCATAGCCCGTGAAACCAGGGTGGGGGGGGCAGGCTGTTTGCCATCATCCCAAGAGGGTGGGGATTGGCACAAGTTGCTGGCCCGGCGGGGGCGTGGCTCCAGCTCCTGGGCTAGGCCTGGGCTGCTGGACAGCCTCCTGGGGCTCTGCCAGGTTTCAGGCTGTGCCGTCTGCCCTGTGGGCTCCCCGGCCCGTCCCAGCCACGCTGGGAAGAGGCGGGTCCTGCCTGCTCCCACAGAGGCCCAGCCCTCTGCTCACCCGGCCTGTGGGTGGCCCTGGCTGGCCGTGCGCCTCATCCCCGGTGGTGTTGGCACCTCTGTGCCATCCAGGCCCCTGGGCTGGCCCCAGATGGGGTGGGGCAGCTGGGCGGGGGCAGCCCTGACACTGGGCAGCTTCTGTGCTGCTCCATTTCTTCCCTTTGGCAAGCACAGGGGTGGCCCAGAAGCTCGCTGCAGGTGGCCAGCAGGAGACTTTGAGGGAAGGGGTCTCCTCATCTCCCTTCCTTAGCCCTGGGCCTGAGCAGGGTGGCAGGGGATTCCACAGGGGTGAGTGTGCAGGGGAGTCTGGGTCTTCTCATGTGTCACTGGCAGCCTGGAGGTGACAGGGAGGCCCTCCTTGGGCGTGTTGTCAGCACAGATGGGCTGTGTACTCGTGTGTCACGGTCCCATGCGAGTGACTGTCCTGTGGCTTCACTGGCGCTCAGTGTGGCGGGAACCGTGCTTGCAGGGCCTCCAGACCAGCTCACAGCTATGCGGGCTTTCTCTCTGGGTTCCCCTACTCAGGCTGGTAGGCCCAAGGAGCTGGCCGCCACTTTCCCAGGAACCCCCAGGCCAGAGAATGCTGACAGCCATGGGCTCACAGGTGCAGGCCCATTCCTCCTTGTTTGGTGTTTTGGAGCCTAGGTCCTAGAGTTCCTGGTCAGGCCTTGGACCGAGGACAGGGTAGGGGGTTCAAGTGGTGGTTGAGGGAACACAACCACGACAGTAACGCTTTTCAACCAAGCTACGGGACCAGCCCCACCCACACCAGCAGACCCTCTAGGTGTACCCCTGTTCCCAGAGAGATGTCAGCCTCTGGCTGGGGGTACAGCTCCGGACATAGGTAAGGTTTCTCAGCACAAAGAGGCCTCCTGGGGGAAGTGTGAGGCGTGGAGCCTCAGGGATGCCCACGCCTGATACAGGCCTGTAGGAACAGCCTGTGTTGGCCGAGGTCTTGTCCTGGGGTGGAGGCATCCAGGGTGGAGTGGGTCATACGACCAGGAACCGGAGGTCGCAACCCTTTCTTTGAAGGCAGGCTCGCATAAAGGTTTGATCTTCTCTGAGGAAGGGGGTCCCCTGGGACTGCGTGTGTTGTCACACCCAGGGACTGACTAGAGCATGGGATAAACAGGGAAAACTGTGTTGACTTAGTGTGTTTCTTCAGTTGGACCTGTAGAGCCAGGCTGGGGCTATGGTCCTTTCCTGAGAGCACTGTCCTATCCCTAAATGTGCATGGACTCTCAGGTCTCCTGTTCTGGGAGGACCAGCTACTCTGCTGGTAACCTGAAGGGCAAGGTCTCAGACCCACCTGAGATTACACAGCCCTGGCTACCCTGGCTACAAATCCCTGACCCAGCACCACCTGCTCCATCTGGAGCTCCTCCAGCATCGAGATGCTCCGGCTTCAGAGCGTACAGCTCCCTCTGCCACCCCCATGTTCCTCTGGCAGCAGGGCCCTCCAAGGCCCTGAGCGGTGGCCCCACAACCTAATCTCCAGCCTCCAGCACTCTCTCAAGCCTGAGCTTTGCACTGGCTGTCTCACTTTCTGGATCACTGTCCTCTGTCCGGCCAAATCCATCCCTCGATCCCAGCCCCCAGCGACCCCCTCCCAAAGGTTTCCTGATCCTGTGGGGCTGGGAGCTTCTGGGTGTGGGTGATGGTGAGTGTGGGAGGGGGCGGGTCAGAGGCTGCAGGAGCAGGGTAGGAGCGGGATGGGGACCTGGAAAGGAACACAGCCCTGGGAGGGGTGCCCGCTACTAGGGTGGAGGTGGAGGTGGTCAGACCAGATAAAGTGAGAAACCAGATAAATGGACAAGGGGCAAGTGAATAGGTCCTGGGGTCCCCTCCTTTGGGCAGAGGGAGCAGGAGGACTGAGAAGGTCCCACACCAATCGGTCATCCTCAAAAAGTTCCCGACCCAGAGCAACACGCTGGGAGAAACAGGACCTGCCACATTTTCACCTGCTGCTGTGTGGTGTCAGTTACCTGGTCTGTGAAGTGGGTAGGGTGATCTGCCCACCCCCAAGGCCCCCACTCGGGGCCCCAGAGTGAGCCACTGCAGCCATGGACAGCCGCAGAAACAGGCTCCGAAAGGTCACAGCGCGGCGGGTGGGGGCTGGCTGCACCAGGCTGGCCTGGCACAGGTTAATCGCTCCATAAATGCCTTCTGAGGTCACCGTTAAGGGATGCAGGAGGCCAGGCTGCCGGGGCAGCTGGCTGGGGCACCCCCACAACAGGCAGGTGACTCCAGCCTGTTTTCCTGGACCGTGGCCGCTGACTCAGGCACCCCCCTCCCTTGCACACCCCCACGCGGGCGCCCCCAGGCGGAAGCACCGGGCCCTAGAGCGGCAGGGAGGGGGGTGGGGCGGGAGCCAACCTGTGCACCCGAAACCCCGTCCTGGGGATCCGGCCCATCAGTGAAGCCGTTTGTGACCCCGGGTTCAGCAGCGACCCCCAATATACGAGGTGAGGCTTAAGGGGTGGGTGGCCCAGATCCCAAAGCGCCCCAGGGCCCTGGCCTGCAGGCAGGGGCGGGGGCCAGCCTGCGTCACCGGCCGCCCGGCCCTCCGCCCCCTGCCCGCCCAAACTCCACCCCGAGGGAAGGCGGTGCGGATAAAGGCTTGGGGGCCGCCCGCTCGGCCCCAGACCTGCCCCGCCACTGCGCGCTGTCCCCGGACGTGGGTACACTCAGGACTGTTGAGACCTCGAACTGGCCGCGTCCGGTGAGTGCGGGTGGGATCTCGCGGGATGAGTAGGAGGTCCCCACTCTAGGCTCTTACGGGTGCCCCACTTTTCTTTGTTTTGGGGGCAGGCAGGGTTCGAGGTGTCTCCAGCCCTGGCAAGCCCCTCGGGTCGTGGGATGGGAGGGGCTCGGCGCAAGCAGCACCGCCCCGTCAAGACCTCAGCCCCCGCCCCGCCTCCCGGGCACTCTTCCTACCCCGCGAGTGACCTTGAGCAAGTTGCTGTTCAGCCTCAGTTTCTCCAGTTGTGCGGCCCCAGCCTCCCGCCTTGGAGGCTTCAGACCCCTAGCAGAGGTTCCCACCTCGCCAGCGGTCCCGTAGGCCTCTCCCCGGCCCCGGCGCAGCTTCTTCGCCCCCTCCCCAGGACTTCAGGCAGCGCTCCCGGGCAGGGCCGGCAGGGGGCGCGCCGGCGCTGCTGACTCACCGCAGCCCCAAGCGGCGCGCGCGGGCGCAGCCGGGGACGCCGCGTCACGTCACGGCTCGGGCGGGCGAGACTCGGGAAGCGGGCCCGGCCCGCGGGACAGGGATGGGACGCAAGGTGGTACCGGCGCGGGAGGGGCCCTCCCGGCACCGGCCCACGTCACCGGGGTGCAGGCCCCTCCCGCAGCCCCACTCCTCGCCGCACCTCACGCCCCACGGGTCGGGGACGCCCGCCGGCCGAACCTCCTGAGAGCCGCCCGGCCACGAAGCGCGAGGATCGCCTCCCGCTTCCGCTCGCGGCGGCTTCCCGGACAGACGCTGGGGGAGGTCCCCCGGCTTCCTGCCCCTCCTGGCGCTGGGACAGTGCCCGCCCCCACGCCGCGCCCCCCGGGACCGGGACCCCGCGCCGCCCCCTCCCCACCCAGATCCCTCTCGGGCCGCCTGCCCTTTGTTGCGGGCGGTATGAATGGCCCCCGGCGCGGGCGGGTGGAGCGCGGGGGCGGGCCAGAGCGGCGCCAGCCCCGCCCCCGCCGAGCTCCCCTTGGCCGCCGGGCCGGGGGCGGGGCGAGGGGCGGGCCCGCGCGGCCACGTGGGGCAACGCCGCGGCGCTTCCCATTGGCCCGCCCGCGCGGCCGACTGAGCGTTCGGCGCGCGGCGATTGGCCGACGCAGGGCCGGCGGAGTAAGTAGTGAATGGGAGGGGGCGGCAGCCCCGCCCCTTGGAACGTTGATACATTATAACTTTTTTTTTCTTGTTACTTTCACCCCCAGATCTTTCAAGCGGCGGCGGCGGCGGCGGTGGGGACGGCTGTTGCTAAGGAAGGGGACGCGCGGGGAAGCGCGGCCCGAGCGGCGGACGGTACCGAGCGCGACCGCCTAAGCGGCGCCCCCTCCTCCGGACCCTCCCCCACGCCCAGCGTCCTTGAAAGGAGCCGCGAGTGCAGTCCCCACCCCCGGAAGGCGCCCCGACGAGCCAACGCGACCCCGGAGCGCCGCTCGGATTTTTGATTCTTGATTCACCTTCGGCTTCTGGGACTTTCTCGAAGGGGACGTGCGCTTCCCCTAGGAACCCCGAGGACCGCCGGCTCGGGGAGCCCCCCCCGGCACTGCCCGGAGGCGCGGCGAGGATTGGCGGCGCCCCGCGGACCCCAGCCCTCCAGCGCCGGCCGGGGATGGAGTCGCAGCCCGGCGGCGCCCGGAGCTGCCGGCGCGGGGCCCCCGGCGGCGCCTGCGACCTAGGCCCGGCGGCCGAGGCGGCGCCCATGAGTCTGGCCATCCACAGCACGACGGGCACCCGCTATGAGCTGTCGGTGCCCCCGGACGAAACGGTGGAGGGGCTGCGCAAGCGGCTGTCCCAGCGGCTCAAAGTGCCCAAGGAGCGCCTGGCGCTGCTCCACAAAGACACGTAGGTACCGCGCGCCGCCCCCGGACCCACCGCCCCCTCGGGCCCAGGCCCCCGGGCGGGAACAAAGAGCGCGCCGCACGGGGAAGGAAGGGGGCGGCCAGACGGGGGGCGGGGGCGCGCCGCGCGCTCTCGGGCGCCCTCTGCTCGGCCTTGCCTGCCTCGGCCCCCTCCCCCGCCTGGGGTCGCCGCACAAAGGCGGCTGCGAGGGCCGCCCCCTCCCCTCTTGGGAAGGCAGGAGTCCGGGTCAGTGTGGGGGTCCCGGCAGCGGGGGTGGGGGGCGCGGCCGCCTCCTTCTCTGCCTTATTTCCTGCTGGCTTCCGCATCTGCTCGGTGCCCCCCCCCCCCACGTCTGGCTGTTTTCTTCCCCTACTTGCGTTTTTCTACCCCCCTTTGTTCTAACCACCGAGCACTCCCGCAGTCTCCCCCTCCTCCCTAGTATTTAAATCGCCTCCAGGCCCGGGAGCGCTCCCCCCGCGGGCCTCCAGGGACACGCACTGTCCATCCCCAGCGGAGGGGCCCCCGTGGGGGAGGGGCGGTTGGGGGAGGGTCTCCTTTGTCTGAGCCGCGGCGGCCTGCGCCAGGGAGGGAGGGGGGAGGGAGGAGGGGGAGCCTGGCCCCGCAAAAGACCCTAAAGGCTAAGCCCTGTGGCTCCCACAGAGGAGCGCCGGGCCGGAGTTGGTGAATTACAGGCAGGGGCCGGCCCTGGGGTGAGGGAAGGGTGGCAGAGCATGGCAAGGGTGCAGTGGCGCCCGGGTGATGAAAAAGTGCTTTGTTGAGGTGCAGAGGTGGTGCCCCAGTGCAGAGTTGGGGCTTCTGGGAAGGAGGTTTGAGCCACTTGCATGGGGGCCCTCCGGGCCAGATGTTTGACACTCCCCGTCCCCCTCCCCCCACCACCACCTTTCTGGTCTGAAGGCCAGGAAGGGAGAGGGGTGGGTAGGGCTCCCGTATCTCCCCCAGGAATACAGCCCTCCCCCCTGGGTCGCCTCCTTGTCTCCTTGGCCTCACCCTCTTCCTTCCTCCCCCCAGCCGGCTCAGTTCGGGGAAGCTGCAGGAGTTCGGCGTGGGGGACGGCAGCAAGCTGACGCTGGTGCCCACCGTGGAGGCGGGCCTCATGGTAAATGGCTGGGGCAGAGTGCCCCAGAGGCTCTGGCACAGGCGGGCAGCCCCTTCCCCTGAGAACTTGGTTCCCAGCACACACCCTGCCAGGGCAGCCCCAGTCGGCAAGCAGCTCCCCTGCCCTGGCGCCTGGGCCCTCCGACCAGAGCGCACGCTCAGAGTGGCTTCTCCTCTGTTTCAGTCCCAGGCCTCAAGGCCAGAACAGTCTGTGATGCAGGCCCTGGAGAGCCTGACCGAGACGCAGGTAAGACCCGCGCCGGTCCCTCCCAGACCAGGGGGAGGGTTTGGGGGCTGGTGTTTGTGCTCCCAGGAGACCCTCAGGGAGGGAGGGTACGCGCCACCCAGCCTTCCTGCCAGTTTGGCCTGGTCACCCAGCTTCCTCTTCCTCCTCCCCCCTCGCACTCACCACCTGACCTTGAGGGCCTTCTCTCCCACGGTGGCTGCCTTGGGGGAGGGGGCTGGGCTTTCACAAGCCTGCCTGAGGGGGTAACCTTGGCCCACGCTCCCACACCGCTCCCACACCAGGGCCTGGGTCCCCAGCCCCATATTGAGGAGCACCCCCTCTACAGCCACTGCGGTTTCCCCAGGGCGACCTTTTTTCTTTTTTTCTTCCCCCCAAATTTCTGTGGGTGGGTTGAGGGGGGCTGGAGGGGCCAGCCTGGGTGACACTCTTTCCAGCCTTCTTTGACCCCATTGTAAGGGGTGGGGAGTCACCCCTCCCCCTTCTCCCTTTGGCCTTTGTTCTCTGCCCCAAAAGGGGGAGGGGGGCACCCAGCCCCAGGGCCGTAGCCTAGACAGGATGTTAGGAAAATATTTAGCAACTGGCCAGGAGCTGAGGAGGAAGGCAGGGACTGGCCCACAGCCGGGTTCCCGGTTTTGTTGCAGCCTTTTTTTTTTTTTTTTTTTTTTACCTCCTCCTTTCCTCATTTTTCTGGCGGCGGGGCCCTCCTCCCAGGAGGGTGACACAGGCCTCAGCTATCCGCCCGCTGCCAGGGTGGGGGAAGCAGGCTGCTGCCCGCCCCGGCTAGGGGGTGGGCTGGGCTGGGCTGGCCGCAGGAAACCTGCTCAGCGGCTTCCCTTCCTCCTGCCCCGAGGCCCTCGCCCCCTCCCCGACATGTAGCATCCTGCCCTCACCAGCTAGCTAGCAAGGAGGAAGAGGGGCACTGGTGCTGGGTGGTCTGCCATCAGGAGGGCCAGTGGGCTGAAGGCAGAGCTGGGGTCCCGGGAGCTAGGTGGGGGGCCGCATTGGATTTCCTGGTGAAGATGTGAACTGAGCTCTCTGCTCATGGGGGGCCTGCGGTTGGCAGGGGGACCAGGGGTGTCTTCAGTTCACATCCGCCCCAGGGTGCCTGCGTCAGGAGGGAGGGGGGGCACTGGGCGGAGTGACTGGGCTCCCAGGGCTGTTTCCCCGCCTGGCACCGAGTCATGCCCTCCTATTCGCCCTCTCCAGGGAGGAAGTTGCAGGGTGGAGGGGTGGGGGGGGACTCCCCAGTTGCTCTTGGGAAGCCAGCCCAGGTCCTTCCTGCAAGGGGAGTCTCTGGGGCTGGGGGGGGGTGCCATGCAGACCAGGCTTCAGGGTGGGGGCTGCACACTGCCCGCCTCCCTCGCCTCCTCCCCACGGCCCCCAAGCAGAGAAGGTTACGCCAGTCGCTGCCAGCGGAGGGCTGGGAGGCGGTGGTTCTGAGTCATCCCGGCCTATGTCACTTCTCAGAAACCTCCCCCCCCCCCCACCACCACCACCATCCTGGCCCCTGGGGAAAGCTCAGCACTGGCTAGGCTCCAGAGGAGGAGCCCAGTGCAGACTGAGCTCAGATGCACCCCACCCCCCGCCACCACCACCCACCAGATTTGGGGGTTTGCGTTCGGGCTACGTGGAGGTCTCACAGGACCCAGGCCTCAGAGAACCATCAGGGTCCCCTCCTGCAGCAGCGAAGCCTCCCCCTCGGTCTCAGCCCCACCCAGGACAGATAAATATTTATCTTGAGAAAGCAAAGGTTAGGAAGAAGAATTTGTCCAGGAATTCCCGCCCACTTGCTGCCTGGGTGGCTTAACTGGGAGGGGGTCTGAGATTGGCTCCCCTCCCATATTCACAGGCAGAGGATTGGGGGCTGGGAGGGTGGGGTTATTCAAGGGCAGTGACTGCTGACTGGGCCTTGCCCCCTCTGGCCTCAGTTTCCCCTTGAAAGAACCAAGCTGGCCAGGGAGGGCCAGGCCCCCCCATCTGACCCGCCTCTGTCCCCCACAGCCCCCAGTGGCGCCCGGGCCGGGCCGGGCTGGCGGAGGCGTCTTCCGGAAATACCGATTCATTTTATTTAAGCATCCGTGGCACCGACAGGGACCCCAGAGCCCAGAGAGGGGCGGCGAGAGGCCCCAGGTCACACAGCGCGGGGGGCCGGGCCTGGGCCGGGCTGGGGGCGCGCAGCAGGCTGGGGCCCTGGCGCTGACGGGGCCCCTCTCTACAGGTCAGTGACTTCTTGTCCGGCCGCTCGCCGCTGACCCTGGCGCTGCGCGTGGGTGACCACATGATGTTCGTCCAGCTGCAGCTTGCCGCCCAGCACGCCCCACTACAACACCGCCACGTGCTGGCTGCTGCCGCTGCCGCGGCCGCCGCGGCCCGGGGCGACCCCAGCATGACCACCCCCGTGTCCTCTCCCTGCCGGCCTGTGTCCAGTGCTGCCCGAGTCCCCCCGATGTCCAGCAGCCCTGCCCCTGCATCCCCCTCACCTGTCACCGCCGGCTCTTTCCGATCCCACTCAGCTTCTACCGCCTGCTCTGAGGTGAGTCTAGGGAAGGCTTATTCTTGGGGCCGGGAAGGCGGGCTGTCCCAGACTTGGGGAGCGGAGGGGCTCAGAGTCCCAGATGGGTGCTTTGTACGAAAGGCCACCGCCAGACTCTGGACTCCAGGGACTCTCCTTGCGCCCCACAGCTTACATGCCTCCCTCTCTCCGACCAGCAGATGGACTGTTCGACCCCTGCCAGTGCTGGTACCAGCCCCACTCCCACCCCTGCGGGGAGCCCGACCTCCCGCTCCCGCAAACCTGGTGCCGTCATTGAGAGCTTCGTGAACCATGCCCCGGGGGTCTTCTCAGGGACCTTCTCTGGTAGGTGTCACAGGACCCCTGTGCCACCCCCCCGCTCCCCCCAGAGATCACCGGCTGGGGGTGGGGTACGTTCGCACTCACCCCCCCACCCCAGCCCCGGGTCTCCTGGCGCGTGTATGACCACGCAGGAGGCTGTGGGCTCCCGTGTGGGGGTGCAAGTCCCCGTGCACCTCACTCGCCCTGGGGTCCCACCTATCTACGAGTGCGCTCCGGAGGCCACGTGTCGGTCACGCGAGCACTCAGCAGCGACTCCCCTGCCTCCTGCAGGCACGCTGCACCCCAACTGCCAGGACAGCAGCGGGCGGCCGCGGCGTGACATCGGCACCATCCTACAGATCCTCAATGACCTTCTGAGTGCCACGCGGCACTACCAGGGCATGCCCCCGTCCCTGACCCAGCTGCGCTGCCATGCCCAGTGCACACCCACGTCTCCCGCCCCGGACCTCACCCCCAAAACTACCTCCTGTGAGAAGCTGGCGGCCGCAGCCCCGGCCTCCCTGAGCCAGGCCCGCATGTGCAAGCCGCTGGGTGAGTGTCCAGCCGCCCCACCCGTCCCTGGGCTGTTCAAGGCCCCTCTGTGCGCTGCTCAGAGCAGCTGACCCCCGGGGGGCTGGGGGGGCCGGCAGCTGCTTCCCGCCCTGCTCTGCACGGGAGCCGAGAGAAGGGAGCATGTGTGCTGGGGGCACAAAGTGTCCTTGTCCTCTCCTGAGGGGGGTACTTCCTTCTTGCTTCTCCCCGCCCCCCCCCCGCCCCCCAGCACCTTGTCCAGATGGCAGGTGGAGCCTCTGTGAATAGCCGAGTCTGATGAAGGAGGGGGCCAGAGCTGCTCCGGGTAGCTTGTGTCCCCCAGAGACCAGGTTTCCACCAGTAAATCCCGAGTCTGCCGAATAGTGTCCCTGTTGCGTCTGGCTGGTCTGCAGCCCAGGTCGCGAAGGGGAAACCAAGGCACCGGCCCGAGAGCTCGTGTAGCACCTGATAGGCGTGTTGGCGGTGTGCTCAGCGCCCGTCCCGGACCCGGCCTAGTCGGCACAGAGACGGGTCAGGGACGCCTCGAGTCCCAGGAACTTCACGGCGCCTCGGGCTCCACCACAGACCCAGTGGACTCTAGAGCGAGGCTCCCTCTCTGGTGCACTGCGCCCAGGAAGGCTGGGTTGTGCCTTACACCCGGGCGGGGGGGCGGGGGTCTGGCCTCTGCCCTGAGGGGCTCAGGGGTCACAGTCACTGCCTCCTTGCAGGGGACCGGCTGCGGCAGACGGAAAACCGGGCCACGCGATGCAAGGTGGAGCGTCTGCAGCTGCTTCTCCAGCAGAAGCGGCTCCGCAGGAAGGCCCGGCGCGACGCCCGCGGCCCCTACCACTGGCCGCCAAGCCGCAAGGCCGGCCGCAGCGACACCACCAGCGGCGGGGGAGGTGGCGGTCCCAGTGAGGCCTCCGGCTTGGGCCTCGACTTCGAGGACTCCGTTTGGAAGCCGGAAGTCAATCCTGACATTAAGTCAGAGTTCGTGGTGGCCTAGGAACCGCGTCCCTCACCTGACCACCCTGGGCCGGGAGTCCCCCAGCATGGCCTGCGTGCGGGAGAGCAGGCGGTCAGGGCAGCGGGGGGGGCCCCTCCCTCCCCGCCAGCTTCCTTCTGGTTTTTTTTTTTTTTTTTTCGTTTTGTTGGTTTTTTTGTTCTTTGTTTTTTTAATTTCCATTCTTACCATGGTTTTCCGAACTCTCCATGGACTCGGTTCCTGCCTCCTTGGTTCAGCTCACACCTCCCCGCCTCTTCCTCCCGTCGCCGGCTCCCATCCTCGGCCTGAGCTGGGTCCTTCCCCGCCCACTTCCCAAGCTCCAGATATGTAGCAGTCACTCCAGATGGTTGAGAGTGGGACGAGACGAGGAAGCCGCCCCCACCCCTTCAGGTTTAAGTCAAAAACGTAGATGCCTCATGATGCACTTTACAGACGGGCAGGGCCTAGGAGGGAAGCCCCGCTGCAGCTGCACCCCGGCCTCCAGGGCGGCCAGCAGGCCCCACAGCGACCGGAGACCGCCTGTGCCACCTGCACGGCCAGGTCTCCTCCACATCTGTGCTTTTTTCTCTTGGTCTCTTTTTCCAGGAAAAAAAAAGGGGGGGGCGCTTCAGTAGGCTGACCCCAGCCTGCCTCGGGGCTCAGGTGGGGGTGTGGGGCCCTCTCCTAAGTAGGAAAGAGAGGGAGGGGGACAGACAGCCGCCAGCCTTCGTGTCCACGCACTGTGCCATTTCCTCCTGCCCCACCCCCTTTTTGTTCTGAGCTTGGGGTATTTATAGACTATTAATTTTCTGAGCCAATAGTGGTTGGGAGTCTCTTGAAAACTCGGGAGAGAAATGGTTGGGGGGACAGGGGAAATAACCCCCAGCCCTCCTTCCTGGCCCGACCGGAGGGATCTGGGCCTGTGGGCTGTGTCTGGAGGCCCTCTGGCAGCCAGGAGGGGAGGGGGTGCTGAGCTGTGAAGCCCCCGGTAGGGGTGACGCTGTGTAGCATTAACCCCCTTGGGGGGGGTTCGCTGCTGGTCTAAATTGGACCCTCCCCACTAGTGCCCTTATTCCCCAGATTCCCCTGGGGCAGAGGGACAACCCTCTACTGGGGCCATTTCAATGGGGGTGGAGTTTTTTTTCATTCACTTATTTTTTACTGATAATGGAGATGATCGGGCCCTGCCCCCTGCCCCCAGTCTTGTCCTTGCCTCACCGTTCTGTCCTCCAGACACCCCCACCCCTGCCTGCTCCTCCCTTCATCCTATTGTAGGTGAACACCGCCCCCCTTATGTGTTTAAAGTTAATGGTTTCAGATGTGAACATCATGTGTTAATTGTAGCTCTGTAAACTTTTTTGTGGGGGGGTGGGTAGGGAGGGGTCAGAGGGTAGGGGTCAAGGGTTTGTTTTTTTGTTTTCATTTTCCAGAAAAAAAAAAAAAAAAGAAAAAAGGAGTGGGTTTGTTTTTGAAGAACTGTCTTGGATACCTATTTAAATGTGTTCTGTTTTGGTTTTTTTTTAAACGATTTTTAAATAACACCTGTGCCTCCGCGGGTCTGAGGGTGGAGGCCCCAGGCAGGAACCAGCCCGCCCCCCTCTGCCCTCACCAGGGCTCCCCCAAGAAAGCATTACCCACCCTCAGGGTTCGGGCTGTGGGGTCCCAGCACCTTGCGTTGAGTTTCCTGTATGAAAACAAAATTGGGAAAGATAAACCTATACAAACACCGTGATTTCAAGTAATAAACAGAAAATGAAACGAGTGAATGTGCTGCCCACTTGTGGGAGCTGGGGGGGGTCTTGGCCATCACAGGGGACTCCCAGGTACGATGGGTGGTCTTACGTGCCTGGTAGTGGCACGGTGGGTGGGTCTTCCCTCCGAGGAGGGGGCTTGGGGTGATCAGGTGGCCCTGTGAGGTGCTGGGTTCTCCCACCCTCTCAGGTAGTGGGAGCTGGAAAGTGGGTGGGGGTTGCATCCCAGAACAGTTCCCACGTTCCCTCCCCGGCTTGAGGTGAGGGTGGGCAGGAAGTTGCCCCAGCAGGGGAGGGAGGGGCCAGCCACTTCCCCGGTACCCGAGGCCGGAAGTCCTGCAGGGTGTGGGCACGGGGCGGCCTGCTTACAGTGCGCCCTGGGTGGGGCCTCAGTTCCTGGCTCTGGGAAGTGGGCTGGGGACTGACCCCTGGAACTGTCACCAGGGATACCTGACCACACACTCTGGGCCTGTTTCCCCAGCTGCTGGCAGGGAGGCTGCTCCAACTGTCGGGCCGGGCAGGAGGTACTTACTGCCTGGGTGGGCCCCTGACCTGAGCCCTCCCAGAGGCTACCAGAGCCCCCTCCTGGGGGCCTGGCCTCCAGAAGCTCTCTGGCTCTGGCGGAAATCAGTGATTCCCCAGGGCCTGAGGCTTGTGTTCAAGGCCTCTGGCCTGGCCGTCCCAGCCTTAGGTGAACTCTCACCCCTCTCTGGCCTCACCCTGGCCTTGCATTCCAGTGCTCCCCAGCCCTGACGGTCACGCATCAAGCCTCCAGGCCTTTGTCCGGGCCCTGCCCTACCAGGAACACCCCTCTCCTGTCTGCCCTTGCACTGCCTAGGGACTAACTCAACTGGCCTCTCGCTGAGGGCCGGGCCAGGGGCCAGTCCTCTGGGGTCCCGCTGCCATCCACTCTGGGGCTGGGCAGAGGCAGGACAGTAACAGCGTCTCACCCGTCCTTCCTCAGTCGACAAGCACTGCCCCCAGGAGTTACAACTAACCATGGTGCCATCTAATATGTGAGAAAACCCCACGCCCAGAGAGAAACATCAGTTGCCCTAGAGGATCGGGGTGTCCACCCACTGCTGGGCAGATTTCCGATGGCCCAAGCCCTTGCCCTCCCAGCCCCAGCTCCAGGGACCCCATGGGTAAAGGACACAGGTCCCATCCCAGGAGTGTCTTGGGAGCATCTCCGCAAGGACCTTCTGCCCCTCTCCCTGCCCGGTCACCCCAAAATCATCGCAAGCCCACGGCAGGAAGGTAGGATGCCACACGTCAGGCTGATCTCTCCAGACCTCAGAGTCAACGGCCACAGGTTGGAGGCGTGGGTGGGACAGCTCAGGTGGAAGCTTCCGCCCACGCAGCTGCCCCTGGGGGTCAGGGCCGAGGGCTGTACCCAGGTGATTCCACAGGGCTGGGTGGGGGATGTGGAAGGAGGTGTCAACTGAGGCACCCGCTGAATCACAGGCTGAATCTCAGGCTGTGTGTGCACGCTGAGGGCGGGGGGCACTTGCCCTGCTGCCCGGGAACCCACCCCTCAGGGCGCTGCCTGGCGCCCGGCCCGGGAGTCCAAGGGTCACGGCCCTGCCCTGGGGTCCTAGGAGGACAACACCCCGGTGGGGGCTGCGGGCCATTGGCCTCCTCCCCCCTAGGCAGGGCGCACAGCGCACGCACCTAGCCAGGGGGCGGTGCCTGGCCGAGGGGAGGTGCGGCCAGAGGGGCTGCAGGCTAGGCCACGTGAGAGAAAGGTAAACTGAGGCCCGGCGAGGACTGGGTCTGCGGAGATCGCAGGGGGCGGTGTCTGCCCTGTGCCGCCCCCTCCTCCCATTGAGGAAAAAGCTGAATGGGAGGGGGTGGCCCCCGGAAACCCGCAGGAATGGAATCGCGGTTTCCACGGCAACGCGCCGCGAATCGGGTCTGACGTCACCGCGGGGAGGGCGCCCCGCTCGCCCCCGTCCGCGCGTCGGGGGGCTCAGGCCCCGCCCACCCCGGGGGGACGCCTCACTGGTGGCCCCGCCGTTCGCTCCTCCGCACGCACCAATGACAGCGTGGCGTTAGCGCCGGAGGGTGGGACCGCGCCCGGGCCGGCTGAGTGCGCAAGCGCGGCGCGGAGGCGGGCGGCCCCCTCCCTGTGGTCGCGCGTCTGCAAACTTGGGGGCGGGAGGCGCGCCGAGGGTCTGACGGCTCGGCAGCGCCCGGACGGAAGAGGGGGCGTAGCGGGGGGCGCCGCACGTGGACCCCCGCACCGGCGCGTTCGCTCGCACCCCTCCTTCCACGTCCAGGCATTGTCTGCTGCCCCCTCCTCCTCGACTCGGTGACGCGACCTCCGGATTGGGGGAGCATGCAGCCCCCGGGCGGGAGGAGAGCCCTTGGCCTGAGGTTTTGCCAAAGGAATAGGAGTTTGCCAAGCGTTGGAAGAGGGAAGGGGTGCCCCTAGGTGGGAGACACAGCGTGCGCAACGACCTGGAGACGTGCAAGCAGGTGTATTTTTGGGGGGGCGGCAGCTGCGAAGTTAGTTGGGGGAGAGAAAACCAAAGGTGGGAGGAAGACGCCGAGGCGAGGACCCGAAAGGGGCGATCCCCCAAGTCTGTGGCTGGGGATTGAGTGGCCCCCAGGGAGCAGAACATTCAGGTGGCTCGATGGCTAGGCCTTCAGCCTGGGCTTAGAGGAGAGGCCTGAGGAGGAACAGATGGGGCACTGTGTGAAGGCGGCCTCGGGTTCATAGCGGGGTGGTTGGCAAGGGGGCTGCGGGGAGCTAGGGGCTTGGAGGAGGGGAGCAAGGTTGGTTGTGACCAGGAGTCCGCTCAGAGAAGGCAGCGGTCGGTGTGATCAGGAGCAGGCTCTGCCAGGTGGGGAGCATGCAGGCCAAAACTTCTGCTCCAAGGTTAGCCCCAGGCTGGGCAGGCGCAAGACTCAGTAGAGGGTCGGGTGGGCTGTGTGGACAGGTGTGGCTGCCAAGGCATGCAGTCTGGACTGGAGGCTTGGGTCCAGGTGGGCAGTGCTCCTGGATGATGAGACAGCCGTGGGCAAGCAGGAGAAGGTCACTGGGGTCACTGCTTTCTGCTTGAGGCCAGAGTCCCCTGGGGGCGGCCAAATGGGTAATTGGGGCTGGCTCCACGGTTTTGAAATGCCAAAGGCCAGGATCAGGGCCTGCCTTGGGGAGGAGCCGGGCCTCTGGCAAGGAGCCATCTGGGGAGATGGGAATGAGCGGTGCCCCGTCGGAGCCTGCTCCTGCAACCCCCAGGACCAGGCGGGTGCCCAGGGCACAGCTGCCCCCACCGGGCCCAGTGGGACCTGCTTGACTCTCCCAGGTGCCTTGGGAATGGGAGTTACCAAGCCACAGCCAAGGGTGCTGGGGCCCAACCCAGGAGTCTTGACTCCAGCCCCACCCACGGCTGCTCCGCCCTGGGAGGGCCGGGGACAGGCAGCCTCTGGTGTGACCCC